GGAATGACTAATATCACTTGTCAAGTTTAGCTAATGTAAAGTTGTTGACGAAATTCGAGTTTATCTCCACAGAACCTCTGCCTTTAATGCCAGAAAGCTAAATATTCCTCTCTAAAGGGTCTTGTAGTTATTTAATGCGATGCTAAATTTGATCAAGAGTCTACAACCCACCGCACTAACGAGTGTTTCTTCCACGTAATTGGTTTCTGGGTGTGTTGTTGGATTTAAGGAGGCACGATTTGGTTTTGAGCATTGAGTTGACGTTATGTTACTAGTTGGGGGGTATCCGATAGACTTACCTCCACGTGGTGCACCCTGGACAACGTATACTCATACGGCAAAAAGTCTATTAACTGGCAGTTGAATTCCCACTTCAAATTACCATAACCCCACTGTATATCATATTCGACTACTTCCACAGTACTCATCTCACCTTTTCTCTGCCTTTGTGTCTGCCTCTTTTACATCTTTGAAACACTCTCCTGTCCCTCCCCCCCCCGCCCTCTCGACCTTTTCACTTTGATTTTCCTTCCCCTCTGTGCAGCCCGAAGTCAACTAAAGGGCTAATGATAACTATCAAAACGCCTGCCATTTGATATAAATAAAATAAATGTTACTGGTTGGTTGCTTATTTGCAGATGGCATTCAACTCCTCAATTCTACAACTCGACGCGTGTTTTGGTGCCTCCTTACCTCTGCCATGGCAACTGTGTACGATGCTTATAAAATACGCCCTAGCTTTTGCTGAAACATTTTAGCCTCAGCTATTATATTGCATCATATCGCTTCTTCAGCTCTTCCAAATTTGATTCCCTGCTAGAATTAATAAATGTAGAAGTAGAAGGTCAGAATTGGAGTAAAAGGGGGAATTGAGCAGACTTCGGGATAACCCTTGACGACACTGCTTTGGGGGGTGCAAATGGAATCGTGCTTCTGTGTCAGCAGTGTTAGAAGAAGTGGAAAGGTTACAATACTGTTTATGCAATTATATTTTCGGCTATCGATTAGCGCTCATTCATAGAGCCGTATCTGAGATGAAAGTCCTGTTATCACTCCAATACTGGCTAACGAGACAATTAATTCTGTAGGTGTTTCTTCTCTTCAGATACTCACTGTTCAGTTGAATGCAACTCCTGGATAGTTAATTAAGCTCCGTTGTCAGGTCGTAGAGATTTATGTTTTTTTTTTGATTGGACTAACGCGTTCTACCCTGCTGAGCAGAAGCCGATTTGTTGGGTAATTTTATATTCAACCTCAGTTTGTCACTGGAATTATCTAATCAATCTGGTTGGTCTTCCCCCTTTATGCTTCCAACTGTGTTCTTCATAGTCTGTTACTTGGAGTTTCATTTATTTTTATCATTTTTTATTCTCCTAAAATTTGGTTTATGCAACTATATGCTAGGTCACTTGTTTACGGTTCTTGCTTGCGTTTTCTGAATTTCTTTTTTTGTGACGTGGAATCCCCTATGATTGGCTAAAAGTAGTATAGCAAAAACACGTAGCTTATTGCTCATAGCTCCATGCACTCTGTCTGTCTTTAGACCTTCCAAAATCTCTGTGTGTGTTGTTTACTTGTACTTTTTTAATCTTGAATAAAAACGCTACTCAACTTTAATTAATTTATTGATATCAAATGGCAGGCGTCTTGATAGTTATCATTAGCCCTTTAGTTGACTTCAGGCTTCACAGAGAGGAAGGAACATCAAATTGAAAAAAAGTCGAGAGGGGGGTGGTAACAGAAGAGTGTTTCAAAGATGTAAGAGACAAACACAAATGTAGAAAAAAGGTGAGGTGAGCACTGTGAATTAGTCGAATATGGGATAGAGTGAGGTGATGGTAGTTTGAAGTAAGAAGTCAACTGCCGGTTAATAGACTTTTTTGTCGTATGAATATACGTTGCCCAGGGTGCACCACGTGGAGGTAAGTCTATCGCACACCCCACTCCACTTTAATTAATGTTCCAGTAGGCGAACTCTTCACGCACACCTAAGTTCCATTCTGAAATACCCACTCCTCTTAGTGGGAATTATTTATTTTGTGCGCAAAGCATTGCAATAGGGCGGTGAATTTAAGTTGTGGGCATTATTGTGTGTGTGTATGTGTGCCAAAAATAGGACCGTTCCGGGACCTGCAAGAAACTTAATGCGTGCATTGGGAGGAGTGGGAGTGAGGGGGGGGGGTTATTGATGTCTATTTAATTTGGGGGAGGGGGGGGGGGGTTGACGCGCGTATCTCGTCTATCTAATTGCCAGTGGGATATTTGGGTGACATAGGATTATCCACTTAGCTTTCTTTAGTACTGATTAGTGCGTCCTTCCACTTCATCATTCCGGAAATATTTTTTTTTTAAAAAAAAAACAAGTTTATCTACCGCATTTTCTTTTAGATTTATGACCAACCTAATCTCTCATATGTTGTTGTCCTCTAGCGCTACATATCATGCTAACATTTATTCAATAATGCATGTGGTGGATACCTTGAGTTGGTCAATTTAAGGACACATTTTACCAGACTTAGCATTTTAATTCTATTTCTATTTAGCATTCCCACCTGCTGCGATTTTGCACATTCCGAAAAATCTTTTGTTTTCTGCAACATCCATCCTACTCCCCTCTCTAATACCAATGTGCTACGCTACACTATTGAGTGTATTTCAAATACCTCAATTAGCCTCGATAGGGTGGGGGGGGGGGGGTGCTGGGTGGCGATTGTGCAATGCAACAGTAGCTGTGACTTTCAGTCAACTGGAGTTCAGACGTTGCAAAAGGTTTTGGAGTGCCATAATGGCCTCCATTTACCTCCCTGTCTCTGTTGTGCGCAGTTCCCAATGTGCATTGCAGTGTTCCCTCAGCTAGTTTAATTTGTACCTTAATGTAAATATTACTTACCTCATATCGATTGATTTCAATTGCAATTTCGCGATCTCGCATTCTTGAATCCCTATTTTTACTTCTCCATTCTTTCGCTTTTTTTACCATAAGTTGTGATGAAACGTGAATGCGATTTAGAAGCACTCTATTTTTTTCCTTTAGGTTTGTCGTACGCAAATTTTAAAATTTATCCATTTGGTATCTTTTAGTCTGCAGGGCCCTTCAGTGCCGATCTCCTGGGGCTCTCGTTTGATGAACCATCCAAACCCGCTCATCAAAGTGGTGTGGCGGCAGGTTCCAGTGAGTTAGTGTCTAGTGGAAATGGCGAACAACGTCCGACTACCAAGGAGTCCATTCTTGCCCTCTACAATCTCTCAAAACCGGCGCCTTCTGTTGCTCAGGCTAACAGGACTGATCTCTTCTTTCCACCTGTTATGCAACCGAATGGTTTGTTATTTTTCGAGGCAAAGTACAACATGGAAAAGTTCTATTTATATCAAATGACAGGCGTTTTGATGGTTATTATTAGCCTTTTAGTTGACTTCGGTCTTCACAGGCGGGAAGGAACATCAAAGTGAAAATAAGCCGAGAGGAGGGGGGGGGGGGGGGTGGTAGTTTGAAGTGTGAAGTCAACTGCCGGTTAATGGACTTCTTTGCCGTATGAGTGAACGTTGCCCAGGGTGCACCACCTGGAGGTAAGTCTATCGCACACCCCACAATATGGAATATAAGCTCGCACATTTTGATCTCAAATTGCTAATCTCTTTGATCTTAAGAAGTCATTTTGTCCTTTTGAACTCATCTTAAATTCATTGATTTGTGGTTTTCACCTGCTTTTATTTAGTTGAAAAGTTACAGAGAACACAAATCCGAAGTACCCACGAGCTTTTTGGATTCGGTTTGTTAATATTGTTTCTTTTTCTTTCTTTGTTTTGCCATTTCCTCATTCCCTTTTTATCGACGTCATATTTACTTGCGGCAGTGAAACGATCCCACTGTTTGCTTCTGAGCTTAATGTACTCATTTAATCCCCCTATTTAGACTGCTTTCCGAATCTTTCCTAATCTAATTGTCGGTGTTATTAAGGGCTCTATCGAGTTGGATCCCACTTTTTTTCTCCCATGAGGGAAGTAGAGACGGCTTAGGGGGTGACGAATCAAAATCATTGGCAGACATCTAGAGGGCGCGTAAGTGCAAGCCTATTTATCTAACCCTTCAGAACTCGACATTCCATTTCTCGTCTCTACGCGATTGACACAAATCTAACTACTTGATATCTTACTCTTTCATTCATTCGCATTACTTTGACAAAAGTAGAAAGTGTGAAACCACCGTGTACTCTCTCATGAATTATTTCACCGTATCGTCTCCTTTTTTTTCTACTACTACTTTAGGTCAAAACGCAAACGCAGGAGTGCTTCACTCGATGTTTGCTGCTCCGCCCACTTCTGGCCATTTACAATCACCTCCAACTTACCAATCGTCTGCTCCTCAACCCACCGCCGTCGCCACCAGCGATTTTAGTTGGAGCTCTCTAAGACCACAACAACAACAGCCTCAATCAGCACCTAGGCCTCATCCCCCTACTACTACTACTACGGATTTCTTTGACAATATGGATGTTTTCCAGAGTGCAGCAAAGGTGCATGTCATATGATAACCTTTAGATGCTATCCACTCATTAAGGACTCAAACTATGCTCTTTACATCGGGTAACTGCGAATTTGAAAAAAAAAGTGGGTCGGTCCAATTACTTGGCATAATAGGTCCTATGTCTAATGAAGTTCATTTGGAGATAATCCAAAATGCCTAAGTGTGTCTGAGAATTCAGACGTAGAACTCGATGTTCTCATCATTGTTGCTTCCGGGTGCTTGCCCACCATCAAGAACCAACTAGGGGTAAGGGCTTTTTCTATGTCTGAGGACACATCAAGGTATACCACCCCTGCCCTGTACGACAAATCGTGTGTGTGTGTGTGTTTGGAGTTCACCAAGGTAGCGTCTGTCTGATGAATATAGCAGAAACTATTAAGTGAAATCACCGCTTCTACTGTTTTATATGGGGTAACGCTATTTTAATTTTGTCCCCCCTCTTAAGGCTTTTTTCAGGCGGGAGAATTAGTTGGAAAATTTATTGATTCATGTCTCCTCCCTTGCTTCGCCTGTTCGCGCGGAATGTCATGCGATCGAAGTGCATTTTAGTTTGCTTACATTATCCCAACCCCCCCCTCCCCCCTCCTCCTCCTTTCTCCGTCTATTGCAGTTCACTGGGACGCCAGGGTCCTGTTTCTCTGCAACCCGAACCGTAGCCTTTCGATACTTTTTCAAGGACGTGCCGAATTCATCTCTCTGTATTAGTTTACCTATTTTTTGGCTTATTGCTCTCGTGTTTGGCGACAGAATCTTTCGCTGTTGAATGATGATTGGCCAGTTACTCCTCACTTCTTTTCAATCATATAACTTTCAAGATTTTAACAGAGAAAAAAATTTGGCAGCAACCATTTCGAGGCATTATATTAGTTTAAAAGTTACCTCATGTTGATATAAGGCTGGATTATAGTAGTGAAAAAGGTCCTTGCTGCAACCTCCACTTAGTAGGAGTCGATTGTGCTTATACTTAATGGAAAATCATTACTAGCATTCTAATATCAATGGTTGCCAGGAAGCTGCAATGGCTGATTTGATACCTCTGCCTGTTATTGGTACAGGCTGTGCTAAGTTCGTAAAATGAGTCGTCTATGAACAATGCCGTTTGTTTATTTATTTATATTAAATAGCATGCTCTTTGGTTGACTTCAGGCTTCACAGAGGGGAGGGAACATCAAGGCGAAAACAAAGTCGAAAGGAGGGGGGAAAGAAGAGTGTTTCAAAGATGTAAGAGAGATAGACACAAGGGTTGAAAAAATGGTGAGGTGAGTACTATGAAAGTAGTCGAATATGACAACCAGGGGGGTGATGGTAGTTTGAAGTGAGAAGTCAACTACCGACTGATAGACACTTTGCCGTCTGAACATGCGTTGCCCAGGGTGCACCACGTGAAGGTAATTCTATCGCACACCCCACAATGTCCGATTATAATCCATGGTCAAGGGGGGTGGGGAAGGGAGTGCGCGTCTTGCACCCGACAGCAATAACACCCAATGCCTTACGTGGTGTGATAGATGGGTAATTATAAGAGGGATTATTCACCTTATAAAATAATTAGTCAAGTGTCCTGTTAGGTGCATGCTTCCGACGCTTTTTTAACTTGTGCTTTTTTAGCCGGTGAGTCAATGGGACAACGCATTCTCATCAGGTGTTAGCCAGCCGGCTACAAGTGCTCCCTTCTCTTTCCAAACACCCTCTCAATCACAGCCACAGTGGCCACCCTCGGCTGCATTCCAACAGACCCCCGTCGCCACCGCTGCCACCAATCTAAAGCCCCCTGCACAGCAATCCTATCTCGCTCAGGTAGTCATTCTTCGCTTTCATCCCTACTTGTTGCACTGATTTTGCTCACTGTTTGTCCCTTCTCTTTCAGTAAATGCTTATTTAGAGTAGGTCATTATTGCGGTGTGATCTGACCCTTTCCTTACCTCCTCTAATCTATCACTCACATCTCACTCTCACTCTGACCACATCCTTCCAAACTCTTTTTCTTAACTGTTTTATTATTTTTTAGATTCAAAGTCAATTAGCATCTATGCAGTTACGGAGTGAGACGGTTGAGTGAGATTCCTACTGTTTTCTGGTCTTTATTGTTTGACACCCTTGTCGCGAATACCGCTCTCTTAATGTACACATATTTCCTTTAATTTCTCGGAATTTTTCTCTCATTTCTCTTCTGTAATTTCTTTCTTTATTTGATGAGAAAATCATTGTCTGTTTTCTCCATTTTCTGGTATCATTTTGTGTTTGTTGGTGGGTGTCTGCTATACTTCTGCACACTTTTCCCCGTGTCATTCCGTATTGATTGTCTCCGCCTTTACCTGTGCAAAGGTTAGCAGCGTCTATGTTTTCTTTCTCTAAGGGTCATTAATAAAGAATGCGTTTGTAGGTGTTCTGAATTTGTATATTTCGGTCGTTTGAGAAGGGCCAACAGATGGGTTGAGGGGAGGGATATATTACTGCGAATGGTTAGTGGGTGAGCTTTGATTTGGGAATCCTCCGCAAACGGTGGTCTGAATGAGAGCTGGTTTTGGTTATTAAAAATTAATTTGGGTGCCTGATGCATCACCACAAGCAATTTTATTATTGATTGCAATTAATTAATTTCGCATAAGTGAATGCATCAAATATCTTGGAGGTAATACAAGAACTCCAAAATCTTAAAAATGACCAAGGGTTGTTTGTTATTAATATATAACTAAATAAAACAGTAGAAAGTGATTTTCAAAATGGGAAAAGGAGGTGGAAACTTGGATGAGCAGAGTCGCTAATAAAAAGTATTGAAATTTTGACAAACGATAACCAAAGAGAAATGGTCATTTTGCGAAGTGGCAATGCGTTGACAAACTTTCTAATGTTAAGTCAGTCAGATATCTCGATTTACATTGCAGTAAGCGAAATCTTAAACATTCTGAAATTAAAAAATAGATTGAAATTTGTGGAGAAACATCTCAGAGGTTTTTATGACTAAATTAAAAATATTTGGATCACTATTGACATGAAGAAAAACATATGACTATATAACCAGAAGCACAAATTTTGCAAATCCTAACTATTAAACACACTCATAGTAATTAAATTAAATAACTGTAGGTCATTTATTTGTTTTAATTGTTTAGTAAATACAGCAACATTTAAGTGTGTTTAGTACTTACCGATAACACATTTATGGATTCAACCAATTTTTCCTTCAAAGATGCCTTAAAAGCCGAAAATGTCATCAATGAATTATCTGAAACTAGTGATAATTCATCATGTTCAGAAAAATCGGAACCTATAAGCATTGGCAAGCTACAGCACGAAATGAATATGCTTTCCATCAAGGTCTTGGAGAAGGACATCGAAATTAGAAACCTTAAAGCTGAAGCAGCTACAACTAACCACTCGAATTCAGTAAGTTAATTCTTATTTTACAGTATTCATGCTACTTTTCTCATAAGGAACTGTAAATTCCTTCGCTAATTATGCTTCTTAGCACCTTACAGCTGTTCAAATTTCGCATTTTTAGTCAAAATTTCCAGATATGTCGTCGGTCCGGGCGCAACCAAATATTACTTGTTGCCTTCAAAGATCGGAATTCGAGAAGCTGCGTCATTTCTTAATTGAACACGAGTTCTCAGATCCTAGTCACACTTTCATAACAAGGGATATTTACAATCGTCTGAGCCAAGCCTCGAAAAAGGAACTAACCTTAATTGAACTTATAAAATTCCGACACTTCCAGTTGTGTGATTCATTACAGGTAAGCCTTTAGGTATCAAGTCTGTTTTAATTAAATATCAATTTCATTCCAGTATTTCATGAAATCTCAATTTGCGGCTGCTAAATCCTCGAATGATATATCCGTACAGACGGAGGAATTCGGATTCGATGACACATCTTTGGAAAAGCAAGCGCAAACCTTGAAACAGAATAACGAGTACCTAATCAATCAGGTAGCAATATTTGCCTCGTGTGAATATTAAATATATTTGAACTTTCTTGTCATATGTTAAAATAAGGTGGCCATTCATGAAGAGAAATTGCATTCACTTAAACAAGTCAATGAAAGACTAAAAGAAGAATTGAAGAGTTTGTCAAATGAACGATCATGTTTACTAGAACGAGCTATCAGAGCCGAAGAACGGCAGCAAGTTTTGGAGGAGGAACAGAAAAAATTCGAACAATCCTGCGAAAGTGGACTTCCTCTGACTCTATTTGAGCGAATTCGGGTAAATAGGCCTCTCTCCTCTTCATATTTCTATGATTCGCTAAAAATATAATTTTGTTATTCTGATTCATTAGGCTCTCGAGGTATCTCGCAATGAGCAACAGACATCGGAACTTAAAAAAGACTTCGCAAAACTTCAAGTGGAAAGGGATGGGCTTCTTCAGCGCTTACATACTCTCGAAGAAGAGAATAAACGCTTAAGGGAAGATCTCCACTCTGTTGGTTCCGGAAGTTTTACAAACCGACCGTCCGATGTCCTTACAAAAACACGAGTTATAAGTCTAGAGTTGCAGTTGAATGCTGCTAATGCAGCTAAAGCCGATGCACTCCGACAGGTAGACCAACTAGCAGAGAAGTTTGAAGCTGCTTCCAGGACAATTTACGAGGTAATGCCTGTGTAGTCATAGTTTACTAAAACTATCTAAGTAGATTATAACATGTCGTTTAATTCTTCCAGCTTGAAGCCGATCGTAAAGTAGAGATATCTCGACTGGAGGCTCAACTGTCAATGGTATCTCAAAAGTTAGCTGCATATGAGCGGTTAGAGGCAGAAATAGATAAAGCTATTGAGCATTTTGCATCAAATAAAGGTGATGAAGGTAGTGATGTGACGGATGAATTATTCTACCTCGCGAACGTGAGAGACAGAAATGGCAACCCTCTGTTAGCTACTTTGGCATCTCGGCGATTAGAACATTGCATTGAACTAGCAAATCGAACAGCTAAAGCAGAAGAGGTGAAAAGAAAGCTCCAATTTGAAAATGGCGAGCTGAAAAGTGAACTCGAGGTAGGTTGATCATTGGCATCCCTAGACGATGCATTTTATGTCAGTTGGGTTTAGCGATCAATATAATGTTAGAAACTCGAGCAACCCATATAACAATAAGTCGAGGAATCCTTGGAAAATCGATATGGGCAAAAAATATTTCTTGAGTTTATATTTGAAACCGGATAACGTTTAAAAGCACCTAATTAATATCAGAGATTATAGATTACAGGTCATTAAATTTAACTATTTATCCAAAATAACAATCATCTAATTTCAGTAGTGTAGGCACAAGAAGGGATTAATAAACTATATGGAAGTACACATTACTGAATTAATTTCTTCCATACAAGTGAAAACTATACGTACGAGCAAGGTTGAATGACATGGCAAACCTCCATTATTAAAGTAAAAATAGGCATTGGAAGATAAAGTATTGCGTGTGCCAAGCATGATTTTAAGTAAATCACTGATGATTGATTATGTACATCGATATAAGCAAGTAGTCGAAGGAACTTAGCCCAATTAAACCATTGAATGTAAAACCGGCAAGATCACTCAGCTAGGTTCCGAATTAAATGCTGCTAATCGAAAAATGAGTATAGACGGATGAAGCGGTAGTTTCCTCTTTGAAATAGCAAAAGCCACAACCCGATAAAGAATTGCTTCCCATAATTTTTCGAATGCAATAGGTACCAAATAGGTCCATAATGGAAAAGTTGATTCCATCATTTCGTACTAAGTGGGAACAAGGACTTTTCGTGCTCGGAAAATAAATCAAATTCTTCGACTAAATTATAAAATTTGTGCCCATCCCAAATGTTCTAAAATGGATGAAATCATTGCTTAGAACTGCATTCATTGATTATTGAGCGGAGACAGATAAGTATACGAATAATGTTGAGGAAAACACATGTTCAAAAGATTTATCTTACTTGAATTGTGAACTGTGAGGGGATATAGAGATCAAACATAATGAAATAACAACTATAAATAAAACACCCCTTATTTTAGATGGTAAAAGATGATGCAAGGAGACAATCGGAGCTGTTAACCAATATAGGCAAACCTACGAACAGTTTAGCTGCAGCTCTAGTAGAACGAAACAAAGAGATTTCTAACTTGAAATCCGATAAACGTAAATTGGAAGGGAAGCTACGACAATTATATGACTGCACAAAGGATATTGTGGCTGAACGCAATGCTATGCTTGAGGATCTGAATGAAATGTGGACACAGGTAAACCAGGAAAGAGGGAAGCAAGAATCGACTCAAATAAAAAAACCGCTACCGCGAAAAATCTGCAAGACAGAGACATAATCATTGTAATTAATCTTTTTTGACTCAACTGCAAATACTTTTGTAAAAAATTTCCGGTATCAAATAAAATGTTACTCAATAATTGAAAACTGTACAACGTCTATATTGAAAATCTCACAGTTATGAACAAAAGATGGTGCGTAAATCCTTTTGCAACTTTTTAAAGTCCTTTTCTTTAAAAACACTAGTAGGCCTAGCAGGCTTCTTTGAAGGAGGGTTGGAAAACATGAGCTTTCGCCGAGACCGCAAAATTGACTTGCCTAAATCAACAAGATCTTCGCGGGGAGGGATAGTTGGTTTTATAACTTCTGACTGATTGGCCTTGTTTTTTAGCTTTTTCAGACCTGTAACAACAACAAATGCTATTAAATAAGGTAAAATATAAATAGATAAGGTATATAATAGGATTCACACCGTCACTATTTTTGAATTGCTTCCACGACGAATCCTGCACTGGCTTATTTTTCTTGTGCCTTTGCTTTCTCAGAAGTTTTACTTGACCGTATTTACGAGATTCTACTAAAATAATACATAAATTGACGTTTAAAATTTACATTTTTGCTTAGATGGTTCAGTCATTTGCACTTGCTGCTCCTCTTCCTCCAGCGGAAAGGAAAGATTCTTTAGAGCCCGTTGAAGACTCATTCTACTCTGAAATAAAGCAAATGATGCAGTCCGCAATAATATAATAAAAATTGGGGGAAATATAATAGTCGAAATTGGAAGGCCAAATTATTATATTGAAATAAGAAGAGCAAGCAGAAGGATACTCACGGGGAAAAACCAATTATACTGAATGATAAATGCGTCACTTAAACAACTAAAATTTAACTGATAAAAATGAACAATAGCTTGCAGTATATGCGATTTCATGGCTCCTAATATATAAATATATATTGTTTATGATATTTAAGTGAAATTAAAAAGTGACATTGAATTAATTTATAGGTTACTTACCTTTTTACACCGAATATAAAGTTTGATATTTATTGTCGAGTAAACAACACTGTAATTTTTTATTGCGTTCATATCAATTATTTAAATTTTTTATTGTGTCTGCAAATTTGATGATGTCTTTTTAAAAATACTCTACGATATTATTGTACTCAAAATGGCACCCGTATATTTTTCCATTTGGTTTAAGTGCAACGAAAGACAGTTATGAAAGCTAAAGATAATTTTGAAAATTGAGTCTTTTCATAGTAAAGTCTTTGTTTTACTTTTAATCCATATAGAAATCTTGATCAAATAATAGAAATAGCAATGTAATATTCCTACAGAACCGTAAGTGTTAACAAACAATCATTATAGAGTTCCAACTTACTCTTTCCAAATGAAAATTAATAAATCATTAGTGAGCTTATATCATATTCAAAGGATAGAATGAATACAAATGAATACAAATTCTGCACACCCAGAAGCAATTAATCAATTAATGGTTTTACATTTCAATCACACAATTATGCAAAGAGAGGATTTTTAAAGCCGATTGATCTATCAGTTACAACTTTGAGATGAAATATCAATGTCATAAAATATCAACAGTCTTCCAGGATAAAGAATATTTTCCAAATTACATAAATAAGAAGGATTGACTTATATTTAAGCAATTCAATTAATATAAATAAATGAAATTTTGTTGGAATTATTTGCATTAATAGGCAGTAACTCAAGAATAAAGTCTCAAAATAAATGTTGATTATTACAAAGGGGATTATTGTGTTTGGGTAATTTTTTATTGAATAAAACTCAATAACGGAGATAAGCAAGTATTTTAATCATTTAGCTATATAGTGAAAATAGCTTCCCTTTACTTTGACTTGCATATTTCTAAGGGTTAATTCCAGATATAAAAATTAATATACAGTCATACAAGTAATAAATATAATAAAACAACATATTTGAGGTTGAAACGTATTCATAAGTTAAAACTTTATTAAAAACATTTTTCAGCTAAAAAAAACCCTCTGATCATTTGTACATGAAATATTTCTTTGCACTATGATATTATTATTATAGTATATTATACGATACTAATATTAATGGTCAAATTAAAACGAAATTTTTAAATAAAATTGGTTAATAACTAGGATTAACCAAAATATATAATAAGAAATGTTCTAAAGGGTTTATCAAGGAGATTTAAATTACACAGTCAAGGTTTAAACTAATCCGACATTTTAATTTTGATTTGCTTGTTTTCTAAAATCTTAATTTAGTGATGATTGTATCAAATTGTAATAAATATTGATTTTGATGTTCAATACTTATTGACTGTTAATAGATAACAATGACTTTTCCCATTACTTATTATAGCTGGAGAGGGCAAACGATCAAATATATAATTCATAAGCTAGCAGATTTAAATGAAATAAATGATAAATTTTAACTTGCAAGCATCCGCAGCTTTCGACGCTGCAGTTGTGCTATACTGAACTAATTTAATAAATAAGCATGTTTACTCTCTGCCTTTTGCATATAATTTTTAGGCTCTGTTTAAATACAGGCTGACGCTTAGTTATAAATATGTAAATTTTATTAAGGGTAACTTGGAAATAATTTAGAAAGAAATTTATATATTTTATGCATAGAAGATCAATGCTTTCGAAAATTGTTTATAAACTTTTATATTCTCTCGTTTTTATTTGCTGTAATCTGCTTCACAATTATAAAAAGATTATATGTTTTCGTGCTAATTGAAGATGGATAATGAAGTGCTACCCGTTGGCGACATATCAGAATCGAATGGAAAACGTAATTTTTATTTTAGTTTAAAATCAGAGTATGTGCTTACCTGTCTATTTTTTAAATTTGTACTGTATTTAGCAACTCTCTCAACGAAGATTATGTTTACCAATTGGAATACGAAAAGCGCAAATACATCGATCAGATAGAAAACCTTCAACAGCAACTGGATTTATCAGATAGAAGGAATGCCGAACTTTCTGAAGACATAACCTCACTAAATATTCTCAACCACCGGTAAAAAGTTTTTATACTTTAACTTTAAAGACTGACCATTTTTATATATTTATAAATTCAAAATGATCATTTGACATTCAAATTAAATATCTTGATTGTTTTGTGATGCAACAATTAATGTTCTCTTCTTTCAGTTTTAAAGATGCCGTTGACGAGAACAGAAGTCTTCACGATGCTATTGATATGTTAACCCAATCCGAAGTAAATTTAAAAGAACGCTGTCGACAATTAAGTTCTTCCCTTGCTGACTGTGAACTGAAATGCTCTGAAAAAGAACAGGAATTAAAAAGCTTAGAGACTAATCTGCAAAATATTAAGGAACACGAAGCGTTTCAAAAAGAATTACTATTATCTGTGAAACAGCGTTTTGAATCTCAGAATGTAAGACAGCTATTTGTGCTAAACATATCATAAAGGAAAATCTCGAATGTCTTCTAGAAAAATTTGATCAGTTATCCACTAGAGTTACTAAAGTAAGTTGTCATTGTGGGCAATTCGAATGATCAAGATAGAGAACAAGTTCAGCCGTGTCCACTCGCGCCTACTTGAATCAAAAGATGAGCTGGAGGTAAAATGTTAGTTGTATTTTAAGTATCAGTAGCTACTAGTTCAGGAAAAAAGGTCCCTGCAATTCCAAATACGGATGATGGAGGAAAGTTTAATCGCCAAAAGGTAAGAAGGCACTTGAGATTTGTTAATAAACCTTTCTCTAGTCATTTAGATGATACTGGCTATCATACCAGTGAACCCGTTTCACAGCTTCATATGTCAAATTTTGATATGAATAAATGTGAGTGCAAGAGTATCGGCGAAGAGATTGTAGATGCCTTAAATGAATGCTCTGTGTACGAGGTGATCAATGAAACAGAGCACACTACAAATGAGGATAAAGAGGTAATTCAAACTGAAGGCGAGCTATTTGAACAATCAGTAAGTTATGCTTCATTTGTTAGAGATTTGTTATCTGCGAAATGGAAAAATTGTTTCCTCTATATTCCTGAATTTCAGCCTATTCTTCAGACGGAGAGTGCAGTCAATATGCGAAGGTGATTTTCCTTGTTATTGTCTACATTTTCGGCTTTTTAATTTCATTAATTGAGTATGGAGGTTTTTGAAGACGCAATGACTGCAAAAATAAACAAAATTCGCTAATCTATGGGGGGGGGGTGAGTTATAATTTTTCATACCGGTTTTAGCTATCATATTTCGGTGCAGACTTTCTAATGTCCTTTTAATCACATAGTTCACCTTTAAAAGACCTCACTTTGTGAAATTTAGGACAAAAATGATGCCGCAATCTGTTCAAAGTATAAGATCAAGAGACAAACAGGATCACCACAAAGCTGTAGAAAGAAATAAAGTAGCAGAAATAGGAATTGGTAGGGTAATGGACAGGCGTCGGTGCTGACATTGAGGAAACTCTGCCGTTATAAAGTGTCAATGTTAAATTACATTGATACTCCTTGCTCGTCAGTTCAGCAAATCGGTTAATGCCAAAAAAACGCAGACTTTGAGTCAACATGCAGGTTCGGAAGAATAAGACGGAAAATTGGATCTTTACGTTAATATTTAATTCTAAGACTGGTCTAATGATTTTCTTGTGTTCTGTGACGTGAATCTGTTTTTATTTCAAAATATAAGACACAGTTCTTGATGCTGTTTTAATCACTTTACAACTTAATTGATAAAGGTAATATTTTGAGTACACTTTGTTTATTTTTAGATTTACTATAAAACAGCATATCCTTGAATGTGATCGAAGATTTTTAGTAGCCCTTCTTTGCATTATTTGCATTTTCTTCGCATGGTTAAGAACAAAAGTGTCTCCACTGCCGTGTCCACTGCGAATATATCAATACCGTTGCCCTAACACCGGCTGTAATTCACCCATTTCAGGGGTTGTAAGTTCGCTTTTCGGTTTTAAAATCGCGAAATGGCATGAGACACCTCCAATGTAGAAACAAATTGCTAATTTCGAAACTTTCATATTTGTACAGTTTTGTTTTTTGTATTTGTTATGGATTTACAAGAACCTTTTGCATAAATCGTTTTTTTCCATATGTTTTGCTGCCCAGTTTATTTTCGTAATCACCTTCGATGCTACTTATTTACTTCAGTAATGAAAATATACAAATAAATTAATTCATATCTTGTCTATTGTCAAATATACCTTAAGCTAACAGTTATAATAACTGATAATCACTCTAGAACTGTGTCGAGAGTCCTCTCATAATTTCAAATTTACTTCAAACTACGAAAAGCATGGGATTAATAATAGCTGGATGTATGATTAATCTACCAATTCTGCTCTAATTCCTTCCTTAAGTTCAAAATTTTACTCGTAAGCTCATTTCAAAAGGTGGTAGGGACGGTTATTTTGCCATTTCGAATTGGGAATATAGAAATGTTAATAAACAGAGACAATTCCATCTAGACCTCTTCATTAATTTTACTTTCTTCTTATCGGTCCAGTTCATCGACACTTCTTTAGTACTTTACACGCCCTAATATTCAGAGCAAACTCCTGAGCAAAGTAAAATTTTCAAAATGCTTTATGCGTTGATCGTCCTTGAAATTGCAATCGTGAGGAACTTATTGTAGCTAGATTCTGCTATTTTTGCAACACTTTAAATCCAATTCAACTTAATATCAGTGCGCAACTATATTTTATCAATAATTTTATCTAGTTTGATGACACAGACTAAATGAAAGTTTATCTTTTCTTAAGTCTGCTAAATCCTGAGGTTATTCGGTGAATGCCATATGCCAATCAGAACATGATATTGGCATGCTTTGTCACACTTCGTTGGTCATGTTGTCAAAAATGGACTAAACACGTGGACAAGCTCCTTTCTTCCAAACTTATTATTTTAAGTATATTTGCAAACATAATTTCGATGGGCTTTTCAAAGGAGACCGTGGTGAAATTCAAATAGTTAGAAATCAAACGCTTAAGTCAACAAAACTTCCCCTAAAATTTTGCAGAAGGATGATCTATAATTGATTAATTAGAGTCATTCAAAATAGCCAACTCATCAAAAGTCTCGAGAACTCGGTTGATAGCTAAATTGTAAATATAATCAATTAAGAATGATGGTATATAGGTAACGAATGGCAGCACGCTATTTAGTGGGTGTGATCACAGTATTATCGCAAAGCTCAAAATCGTCTACTAATACTTCTCCATCGTTTTGTGCCCGACCTTTCTTTGCTCGTCCCTCAGCGATGGCTTGAGCGAATGCTGCCGTAAACATGTATCCCAATCCCATTGAACCCGAACGACAACGATCCCTAAAGAGGGGGGGGGGGAGGGTAGAGTAAAAGAAACCCTAAATTAGGTCCAAATAGTAAGTTGGTTATTTGGTTTTTGTCTGCACTGTTTCTTGACAGATGTAGTCAAGGGAGAGCGGTGGGAATGGAGAGGAGGTGTGTGTGTGAAATGTCTGTATCTGCCTTAAATAAACATGACAGTGAAATCAACCAAAAACAGTAAATAAATGAATTTAGCCTGATATCCGACTCTACAAACTCGCTCTTTGACTCCTACTCTCTTGAAGGAAAACAGACTCATGTAATCACCATAAGCCCCCCCCCAACCCCTTATTTCATGGCTCCTTGTACAGAAGGGAATCTATGACCTTCTGCTCCTGGTAATATTCAAGAAGGAGAAGCTATAAAGTAGAGCTTGATTTTCATAACACTCTCCTAAATTCACCAGTGACCTTTAAATTGAGTCAAAATATCTGCTCAGCAGGTAGGCTATTCGCTCACTTCTTCTAAGAATTACACGTTAGACAAATTGACTCGGAGTAATATTAGCATGGGAAGAAAGATTTAACTTACATGATCCACTCCACAGCAAATAGTAAGGACACTTCAGTTGTGCTCACACCAATAGAAGATAGGATGGTGATAATAATGACGATAGCTGCACTCGGAACGCTCGGAATGGCCAAAGTCGCAAATCCAACCAGTAAACTAAACCGTGACAGAGCAAAGTGCAAAAGGATATCATCTCACACTGAACTCACTAATACGTGGGAAATAGCAATGCTAACTCACGCAATTATAACGTAAGTTCCAATTGTAATGTCATATCCAGTATGCTGCGCGATGAATACACAGGCCACAGCTTGGAACACCCCCGAGCCGTCGCCTTTCAGAGCCGCCGAGAAGGGAATTGCGAATCTACTGACTTTCTGGTCAATTCCATAGCGGTCACACGTTTCTAGCATCTCAGGAATCGCCACGACGCTGGAAAAGTGAAGTACACTTATTACTGCCTCCCATTTAAACAATGTAAGTTCATTCCACTTGCAAATTGCAAAAAAGTATAGTATTCGTAGTTTTTGTAATTAGTATTACCAGCACTCAATCATTATTCCCATCGAGTACATAATTAATAAAGGATTCGGAGAGTGTCCAAACAATTCCCGTTTAAGAGGTATCTAGAAAACTTGTGTTCTGAAGATTATGTGTTAATTTAAAAGGGTTCTACGAATCAACAGAATTTGTTTATGTAATTCTGAGAACCCGGCTACATTACGAAAACAACTAAACTGGTAATCGACGAGAATTCGGGGACGTTTTGTCGGCTTTAAAGCAAAAGCCTAAATATTTATCAATTCGGAAAAGTGTGATACCTGAAACCCAGGCGGGTCTATATAGTTTAAACTCTGCAAAGCAATTGATCTCCATAAGTGTTAAAATTGGTGAAATTCCAGATTCTATATAATTTGCAATAAGTTTTACTGCTAACGTAAATTTACATTGTTCAATAAGATTAAAATGGGGTGAGCGATAGACTTACCTCCACGTGGTGCAGACTGGGCAATGTATACTCATACGGCAAAAAGTCTATTAACTCATTCTCATACGGCAAAAAAGTCTATTAACCGGCATTTGACATGACTTCAAACTACAATCACCCCACTGTATGTCAAATTCGACTACTTCACTTCAAACTACCATGATCCCACTGTATGGTCATTTCGACCCCTTCCACAGTACTCAACTCACCTTTTTTCTAAATTCGTCTGTCTCTTTTACATCTTTGAAACAATCTTCTGTCCACCCCCTTCCCCTCTCGAGCTTTTTTTCGCCTTAATGTTCCTCCTCCTCTCTGTGAAACCTGAAGTCGCCTAAATGGCTAATGATAACTATCAAAATGCCTGCAATTTGATATAGATAAATAAGATTAAGATGCAAAATTGTATTAAAATTGAGCTTCATTTTAAGCACATCCAGCTACATATTTGTCGAGTTGTTATCTAAAAAAACGTGATCCAAAAAATATGCACGAGACAGGCGTATTCAATTCATTTCTCCTAATCTCTCACGTCAGTTAAGGCGAATATCGAAAGACCTTGCAAAGATCAGTCTAAATTCAAATTAATGGCACGCGGATTTGATTGGCATTGAATAAGTGTTAAGATGTGAACCAAGGTCATTTGGAGTTAGCTGATTAAATTAACCCTCCAAAGAGCCTCAAAAAGTCCGCATAAGTTTGTAGAAAAGAATTTTCCTAAAATACAATTCTAACCCACAGTCTCAGAACATCCACAAAACCAGGGATACAGAGGAGATGGGAGGGCAATGTGAAGATGTTCTGGACTTTTCAAATGATATCCAATTGCATCGGATGTACAAGGTTATTTATTACTTCATATAAACAATTTCATAAACGTCATTTTCCATGTAATGGGAAAGCAAACCCAAAATCAATAGTAATAGTATCAAGGAAAATGTATTTAGTAATTTACATAATTTCATTTTTTTTCCTTCAAAGGCGAAGTATTATGTGAATGAGTTTGTAATTTTATTTGAAGGAATCGTTTGCGTAAAACTACATTTCAAGGCAATTTATTCCACGTGTCAGTCTCGTAGGATAGTCACCTAATGAGACACGGCGACAGAAGTACAATTAACCCCCCCCCCTCTCTCAATACACACACTAACTGTCACCAACTGTCAACTAAGTCACATACGTAAGCGGAAGGCATTATGATCCTCCCTACTGTGTTGGATATTTTTTTGCGTTTAGACCAACAATCTGCAATCTATTAAACACCCTTTACTTTGCAAAAAGCGTTTAGCATCTAGAAACGATTAAACAATGAAAAATTGTTTTTCAATGCTCATCGATCCGTGCCAAATTAAGTAGATATCTATAAAAGCCGGGCGGCTTTCTTTACAAATTCTTATACCCTGAGTGTGTCGCCAACATGTGCATTAGTGAAGTAAACCACTCGGTTTAAATTCATTCTAGTACAAGAGCCCTATAAACATGAATGAATTTACATAATTTCATTTTGCAACGTAGAAATTTCTCACGGAAATGTTTGTTCAACGGATACAGACTTACGGAGCAGTAGTGATGAATGAGAGGAAGAAAGCCTTGAATCCCATGATTATGAGTCGGAAAGGATTACGAAATGAGGCAAGAGTGTAGACAACCATTTGAAGGAGCATATGAATCGCAAGTGCCACCAACACAGATCCCATGAAGAGGCCGAGGCCTTGGAAGGTTCCAGCAATATCCTTTAAGTCAATCACCGCACCGGCGATCATAAAACACACCCCTACTGGCGTGGCCCTACATTTAAACTGCCTCCGTGAAATCCAGTCCAAATTCAAACAACTTAAAAGGAGGAGTACCAATTGGTTTTAAAACTTACAGCAAGAACCATCGCATAAGAATGAGTACGACATTTCCCAGGGAGTCGAAGAAATCCACGAAAACTTTGCCGTTTTCTTTAGCACTTCTAGCGGCGATTCCGAATGCAATAGACGTGAAAATTAGACCTTGAATAGTGGTAGAAACTTTTTTTTCAATCGTCAAAGAATGCTTCACACGAAAATTATCGCCAAAGTCTTACCAATCATGTTTGTAGATTCAAGACGGGTCTGAACTGTTTCTGTTGCATTTTTAGCGGGAAAATAGGTCCAAACTCGTATAGTTTTCGTCTGAAATCGATTAGAAGATGCTAAAATTCTATTCCACGCAAACTTTACATGTTCTTGCAATAAAGAAACGTATTAGACTAAGCATAAGTCAACATCTCCCTTAGAACTCAAGTTTACCACTTTTACTCTCCTCCGGAATAAAAATCGTTACTATTGCGAAATAAAGCTACCCAATAGAGATTGATGTAAGAAAATTTGATCAAATATGTCATATTCCAAATTCACCACTACCAATGGGGAAGCATTGTTGACTACCGTCGATATCAAATGTCATCCAAAATTTAATTGCCCCAAATCAATTATCAAGTGAAACCAACCAGCATTTGTTGGGGAACATGAAGCGGAAAGAGGAATAACAATTGAACTGTGAAATAATTATCATCGGATTGCTATTATCTTATCTTCCAGGCATTGATCGTTCCTAAAACCATTCTGTCTCATACATGGCGAAAGATCTGTAGGGAAATGTTTAGCAAAAACCTTTGTATTTATTTTATGATGATATAAATAAAATAAAATAATTCCAGTTACACAGTTCGCAAATTCAAGGGTTGAAAAGGGGTGCGCGATGGAATCACCTCCATGTGGTGCACCCTGGACAACTTAGATTCATAATACAAAAAAATTATAAACCCACAGTTGACTTCTTATTTCAAACTACCATGACCCCGCTGTAGGTCATATTCAACCACTTCCACAGTACTCACCTTACCTTTTCTCTACCTTTGTGTCTGCCTCTCGTACATCTGTGAATCACTCTTCTGTCCCCCCCCCTTCCTCGACTTTTTGTGACTTTGGTGTTCCTCCCCCTGTGAAGCCCGAAGTCATTTTAAATAGCTACCTCACTTGCATCAGAACGAAATATTCACAACTATAGAGATAACACGATCGAATATTTTAATGTAAACAACTTTGCCAAAAGCTCTGGGCATCCAAAAGTCAAGGCATGAAATGAGGTGATTTGAATGCTGATGGAATTTTCAGACATGACGCACTGAGCAATATTTTGTGTGCAGAAAGTGGGCACTCTTAATACCTCTTATTGGGGGGAGGGGGGGGGGGGGCGGGANACCTTTGTATTTATTTTATGATGATATAAATAAAATAAAATAATTCCAGTTACACAGTTCGCAAATTCAAGGGTTGAAAAGGGGTGCGCGATGGAATCACCTCCATGTGGTGCACCCTGGACAACTTAGATTCATAATACAAAAAAATTATAAACCCACAGTTGACTTCTTATTTCAAACTACCATGACCCCGCTGTAGGTCATATTCAACCACTTCCACAGTACTCACCTTACCTTTTCTCTACCTTTGTGTCTGCCTCTCGTACATCTGTGAATCACTCTTCTGTCCCCCCCCCTTCCTCGACTTTTTGTGACTTTGGTGTTCCTCCCCCTGTGAAGCCCGAAGTCATTTTAAATAGCTACCTCACTTGCATCAGAACGAAATATTCACAACTATAGAGATAACACGATCGAATATTTTAATGTAAACAACTTTGCCAAAAGCTCTGGGCATCCAAAAGTCAAGGCATGAAATGAGGTGATTTGAATGCTGATGGAATTTTCAGACATGACGCACTGAGCAATATTTTGTGTGCAGAAAGTGGGCACTCTTAATACCTCTTATTGGGGGGAGGGGGGGGGGGTGCGCGATAGACTCACCTACACGTGGTGCACCCAGGGCAACATATACTCATACAGCATAAGAGTCTGTAAACCGATAGCTGACTTCTGGCTTCTAACTACCATCACCCTACTATATGTCATATTCGACCCCTCCCACAGTACTCTTTTTGCCTTTTCTATGCCTTTGTGTCTGTCCGTCTGTCTCTTTTACATCTGCGAATCATTATTCTACCCCCCCCCCCCTCCTCCACTTTTGGTCACATTAATGTTCCTTCCCTTCTGTGAAGCCCAAACGCCTGCCATTTGGAATAAATAAATAAATCTCTATTATTAGCACATTTTTTCTATTTTTGGGGTGTCTAGATGTTATCTCAAGGATAACACATTTTAAATATCACTTGTCCCAAATGAAAACTGGTTGATTTAAAAAAGTATTTATATATGTATTTGTATAATTAATTAAGTTGCTTACTTGAAAAATTGCCAAGCCAACGACATTGTCTGCAAATATATTTCTAAGGTATAAGATGAAAGACCTGTATCAAATGTTTCGACAATTAATCGCGCAAATATTGTTCTGCGCTTTTGTGTTTGTTTTTTTAAAAAAAATTAAAACTATGGCTTTATTGTAAAATGCGCGGAATTTGGTAATCATTTGCCTCTCACAGCAACAGATCGGCGAATACATCAGAAGTTGTAACCGGGGCCTCATTCTTCCCGAGGATTTCACTTCCATTCACTGCCAGTGAAGTTGACAATCCTAAGAGAAACACGATATGGCTCAAGTTTTAAGTCACCTTGAAATCAAATTAACCCCTAATCGTATTTTTTTGCTCATTCACCTGGTTTGATAAGAGCCGCAGTTGTTACTCCAATAACCCCACTCAGAAGATCGAATGCCAAAACATACCCGATCGTGGCGAGACCGATTTTCCCGTTTTCTTTAAGATCCATTCTTGCCATTACTAGAATAGGGAATTCTAATGAAGACCAAATTCGCCTTACCAACAATAATGTTAGCAGCGATAACAGGTAAAACTGTTAATTGGAGTAGGCGAATAAAGATTTTTCCCGGCATCTCTAGCAAAAAAAAGAAATGCCACATTGAAAATACAATTTTATTTTATTTTTTGCTTGGAGTAGATTATTCAGTATTCGAGGAGAGTGGTAATAAACTCAAACTAAATTACACGTACAAATAAGTAAAGAAAAAATGTATTTCCATTTTTTGGACTAATCTACCCTTTTAATGAGTCTTAATAATAAGTGGTGCACCACTTGGTGCACCCTGGGCAACGTATACTCATACGGCAAAAGAAGTCTATTAACTGACAGCTGAATTCTGACTTCAAAATACCATCACCCCACTGTATGCCATATTCGACTACTTCCACAATACTTACCTCACCTTTTTTCTACCTTTTCTACCTTCGTCTTTGAAGCATTCTTTTGTCCTAACCCCCCCCCTCCCCTCTCGACTTTTTTTCACTTTGATGTTTCTCCTCCCTTCTGTGAAGCCCGAAGTCAACTAAATGGCTAATGATAACTATCAATACGCTTGCCATTTGATATAAATAAATAATAAGTGGTAATATAATATTGAATTTTCCTTCTTATTTTTATTTACTCATTGAAAGCAATCAAATCAGAACATCCTCAACTTCAACTATTAATATGTATTGTATTTATTGGGTGGGCAACTAAGTCATTGCCGTTTTTGTTGACAGATTCACTCTATACTTTATTTTGTTTTGTTAACGTGGCCAGAGCATCTAACCTATGTTTTTTTCTTACTGTATGGGCTTCTAGGTTAATTAGTAAAAAATTTTTTGTTTAGTTCTTTAGTTTTGTTTTTATCCCAATTTAAAAATGAAAGAACAGGACGTGCACTTCCGACACATTTTATTGTATTACTTCCGAAAAGGCAAGAACGCATCGCAAGCACAAAAGAAGTTATGTGCCGTATATGGAGATGAAGCCTTAAAAGAAAGGCAGTGTCGAAATTGGTTTGAAAGATTTCGTTCCGGTGATTTTTCACTGAAAAATTCACAACGATCTAGCCGCCCAGTCGAAGTGGATGAAACCCATATCAAGGCCATTATCGATTCAAATCGTCACAGCACAACACGAGATATTGCAGAGAAGCTCAATGTGTCGCATACATGCATTGAAAAAAAATTAAAAACCCTTGGTTATGTTAAGAAACTTGATTTATGGATCCCTCACCAG